TCGGTTGAGGTGGAAATTCTTCCCGGCCTTCTATTGAGTACCCAATTTCCTATTCATTCAATCTGAGGTATGCTACCTCAAGAGAATCAGGTCGATCATTAGACTTGGGGTTATCCTAATGTGTAGCCATTTATCATGAGAAGAAAATTTATGTCTTCAATATTGTGAGATAACGAATGCTAGGCCCTAAAGGAAGGTGGATTGTGAGATCCCATATCGATTGGAGGGTGAGACAACATTTTTTATAAGGGTGTGGAAACCTTTTCTAGAAAACGCATTTTACAAACTCTGATGAGAAGCCGGGAAGAGAAAGCACAAATAAGACAATATCTACTAGCAGTAAACTTAGAAGATTGTACTTAACCTATTTAAACTTCTCTGTATTAGAATGTTGAAACTAATAATAGCTAATAATAGAATTTGAATTAGTTACGGAAGAGAAGGAGGAGGTGAAATCAAATTCATCCACAAAAATCTCAACCAATTCCGAGAATCCCCCTATAAAAGGACCTCCCTCCCCATCACTCAAATCACTCCTCCTCTCAATCTCAATTCAGTTTTCTGTTGTCACCAACAACTGGTATCAGAGCGATCTTGCAGCAGCAAAAATGGCAGCAGAAAAACAAGTTGAGAACTACGTTCAGCCCGCCATCCCGAGGTTCGACGGTCACTATGATCATTGGGCGATGTTGATGGAAAATTTTCTCAGATCAAAGGAGTTCTTTGATATGGTGGAAACAGGTTATGAAGAGCCAAATGAAGGTGAGGTACTCTCAGCTGATCGACAGCAACTGTTGGCAGCATCGAAGTTGAAGGACCTGAAGGTCAAGAACTATTTATTTCAGTCCATTGATAGGACTATCTTGGAAACAATGCTTCAGAAGAAGACATCCAAAGAAATTTGGGACTCTATGAGGAGGAAGTATCAAGGCTCAACGAGAGTAAAACGTGCTCAACTACAGGCAGTTAGGAGAGACTTTGAAATTCTCCAAATGCAAAAGGGAGAAACAGTGAATGATTATATTGGCAAGGTTATAAGTCTTGCAAGTAAAATGAGGATGCATGGTGGTTCAATCACAGATGTTGCGGTCGTAGAAAAGATTTTGCGATCACTAACACCAAAGTTCGATTACATTGTATGCTCTATCGAAGAAGCAAACAATGTCGAGGAAATGCAAATAGATGAACTCCAAAGCTCCCTGTTAGTACATGAGCAGAGGCTCAATCGTACAAGTGCAATAGAGGAGATGACAGCCTTAAAGATATCCACACCAAGTGAAATTTCAAGCTCTAGAGGTAGAGGGCAAAGAAGAGGCAGAGGTCGTGAGAGGGGCAGTCGAGAAAGAAGTGAAGATGTTGGCAGGTCAGCAGACCTAGTCAGAAACGATTATGACAACAAAGGCAAGAGACACTTTGACAAGTCTAAGGTGGAATGTTACAGATGTGGACGCCTTGGACATTACAAAAATGAATGCTATACCAGGCTCCAAAAGGAGAAAAGAAATCAATCCAATTTTATGGAGAGAAGAGAAGAAGAAGCATTATTAATGTCATTCCATGCTATGAAGGTTGCAGATCAAGGTGTATGGGTCGTAGACTCTGGATGCAGCAATCATATGACAGGTTGTAAGGAATTCTTCTCAACTTTAGATGAAAATTTTCATACTACGGTCTCTCTTGGCAACAATTCATCTCTCCAAGTGATGGGAAAAGAAACCATAGATATCAAGACTAGAAATGGCTTTGTAGAGTCTATTTCTAATGTATTCTACATTCCTGATCTGAAGGCCAACTTACTTAGTATCGGTCAGTTACAAGCAAAGGGGTATGTGATCACATTCCAAAATGATGAATGTGAAATTTATGACTCCAAAAGAGGATCGATTGCTAAGATGAAGATGACCACCAACCGTCTATATCCGTTGACGTTAAATATCGTTGCCAAAAGTTTGATGGTGAAGAAAGAAGATACCACTTGGCTTTGGCATTTTAGGTATGGTCATCTACACTTCAAAGGATTAAAGACGTTGTCCTCAAAGAAGATGGTAACTGGGTTGCCAGATATTACTCCACCAATGGAAATTTGCGAGAGCTGTGTAGTAGCAAAACATGAAAGAAACTCTTTTCCATCCGGAAAATCAAGAAGAGCTCAAGCAATTTTGGAGTTGATTCATTCAGACATATGTGGTCCCATCTCTCCTGCATCAAATGGTAACAAGAAATATTTCATGACCCTCATCGATGACTTTAGTCGAAAAACATGGACTTATTTCTTGCACGCCAAATCAGAAGCCTTTGACTGCTTCAAAAAATTTTGTGCTACTATGAAAACCGAAACTGGAAGAAGAGTCAAGGTTTTAAGAACTGACAGAGGTGGAGAATTCTGCTCGAAAGAGTTTATTCAATTTTGTGAAGAGAAGGGCATACGGAGGCAATTAACAACAGCATATACACCACAACAAAATGGTGTGGCCGAAAGGAAAAACAGGACCATTCTGAACATGGTTCGAAGTTTACTAAATAAAGGAGAAGTCCCGAAGGAATTCTGGCCAGAAGCTGTTGTGTGGTCCGTTCACATTCTCAATCGGAGCCCTACCTTTTCTGTTAGAGACATGACTCCACAAGAAGCATGGAGCGGAAGAAAACCTGCAGTAGACCACTTTAGAATCTTTGGGTGCATAGCATATGCACACGTTCCTGATGAGAAAAGGAAGAAACTTGAGGACAAGAGTTCGAAGTGTGTGTTCCTTGGAGTAAGCGAGACCTCTAAGGCATACAAACTCTACGATCCTTTGACAAAGAAGGTGGTGGTGAGTCGTGATGTAGTCTTTGACGAAAATAAGACTTGGACATGGGAAGAAAAGATCACTGTGAATCAGCAGATTCCTGTAGATCTTGAAGAAGAACAAACTGAAGCTCCTATTCAGCCTCACTATGAGCATGGAGAGAGCTCATCACAAGCTCAACAAGAAGAACCAGTAGAAGAAGATCATGATCAAAATCAAAGACATCCAAGAACAAGAAAAAGACCAATCTGGATGATTGATTATGAGATGGATTATGAATCAAGTGATAGTGGTTATTTTGCATTCTTTATGGATAGTGATCCAATTGTCTATGAAGAAGCAGTAAAAGAGAAGAAATGGAAGGAAGCTATGGACAGTGAAATCAAATCCATAGAGAAGAACAAGACTTGGGAGCTCACTGATCTTCCTAGAGGGCAGAAAACAATCGGAGTAAAATGGGTTTTCAAAACCAAGTTGAATGAAAACGGTGAGGTGGATAAGTACAAGGCGCGACTTGTTGCAAAAGGATACAAGCAAAAGTATGGAATTGATTATAAGGAGGTATTTGCACCAGTGGCACGTCAAGACACTATCAGGCTCATAATTTCTATTGCAGCACAGAAATCTTGGCCTATTTATCAACTTGATGTGAAATCAGCCTTCTTACATGGAGAGCTTCAAGAGGAAGTATATGTGGAGCAACCAGAAGGTTTTGTTCAAAAAGGCAAAGAGGAACAAGTATACAAGTTGAAGAAAGCTTTGTACGGTTTGAAGCAAGCTCCGAGGGCATGGTACAGTCGCATTGATTCTCATTTTGAAAAGATGGGATTCACTAAATGCCCGTATGAACATACGTTGTATGTGAAAACTGAAAAGGGAGGTAACATTATCATTATTTGCTTATACGTTGATGATTTAATATTTACTGGCAATAATGAAGAAATGTTTGAATTTTTTAAGAAGAGCATGATGAAGGAATTTGAAATGACAGATCTTGGCTTGATGAGATATTTTCTTGGAGTAGAAGTTACTCAGACTCCCGCAGGTAACTTTATCTGTCAGAAGAAGTATGCTCAAGAATTACTTGAAAGATTTAAATTGGATGAGCGCACATTTGGAACTCCATCAGAATTGGGCTTAAAGTTGCACAAGGACATTGACGGGCGAGAGGTTGATAATAGGTACTTCAAACAAATTGTGGGAAGTTTGATGTACCTAACTTCAACAAGACCAGACATCATGTATGCGGTTAGTATGATAAGTCGTTACATGGAGCATCCAACGGAAAAACATCTCAATGCAGCAAGAAGGATACTTCGTTATGTGAGAGGAACCTCTGATTTGGGGGTATTCTACAAAAAAGGAGATGATCCGAAGATAGTTGGCTATACAGACAGCGACTATGCAGGTGATATAGACGATCGTAAAAGTACTTCAGGAAGTATTTTCTTGATGAGTTCAGGAGCTATTTGCTGGTCTTCAAAGAAGCAACCTATTGTAACACTCTCAACGACAGAAGCAGAATTTGTGGCAGCAGCAGCATGCTCGTGCCAAGCAATTTGGTTAAGAAAAATGCTTGAAATTCTTAATCAGAAGCAACCAAGTACGACGGTTATATATTGTGATAATATGTCAACTATTAAGTTGTCTAAAAATCCTGTGTTGCATGGAAGGAGCAAGCACATCGATGTTCGATTTCATTTCTTGCGTGATTTGTGTAAAGAAGGCATTATTGAACTCAACTTTTGCCGAAGTGATGAACAAATCGCAGACCTATTCACAAAGCCCTTGAAACAACCATTGTTCGAGAAGCTCAGAAGAAAGATGGGGATATGCAGAATCCAAGATGTATATCAAGAAGATGAAATGAAGTCCTAAACTGATTTAGGCAGAATTCAGTTTAAGGGAGGGTGTTGAAACTAATAATAGCTAATAATAGAATTTGAATTAGTTACGGAAGAGAAGGAGGAGGTGAAATCAAATTCATCCACAAAAATCTCAACCAATTCCGAGAATCCCCCTATAAAAGAACCTTCCTCCCCATCACTCAAATCACTCCTCCTCTCAATCTCAATTCAGTTTTCTGTTGTCACCAACATAGAAAACTTTTCTCAAGCCACGAAATTCATGAACCACCGATCAAACATAACATAGGAAGCTCATTTCTTAACATACAAATCTTAAAGGAACCTATGAAAAAAAGTGAAGAAAATGCTCCTAAAAGGTGCTTGAGTTACAAGTTTGTTTTGGGCATCTTTTTGTTGGTTGGCTAATCAGTAATGAAAAAGGGATATCATAGTGGATCACGTGTGTGTGAAGTTTAATTACACAAACCCTAAAATCTCATCCACTTCAATTACTCGAACTCAAACCATAAAAATTAATCATTACAAAAAACCCGACCACTCAAGAACTACACATGGTTACGTGTTGGGGTCTTATTGCTCTTTCTCCGACTACCATTGCCAACTCCCCCGTCTCCTTTGCTTCTACCTTTTGGGTTTAATTTATTACCCTTCCTTTTCCCTTCATCCCTTTTTCTAAACTTTCTTCCAATCAGCAAACTCATCCATGGCGGATGCCAAGGTATCACATCTCGTTCATCACGCCACACTCCTCTGTCCTGCTGATTTTGTGTGTGTTTTTGTTTGATGTTTGAATCTATATGTCTCTGTTGAGTTTATCAAAATGGGTTTGTTGGGTTTTGCAGAAGGTTGTGCTCATGATGCTTAAAGTGGACCTGCAATGCCATCGGTGTTATAAGAAGGTCAAGAAAGTTCTCTGCAAATTCCCTCGTGAGTACTCTGTTCTTCTACTCTGTCTTTTAGTTTCTACAAAAAGCAACGCAAACCCAGTTTCTGTTTTGTTCTACAGAAATTCGAGACCAGATTTATGATGAGAAACAAAACCTTGTGACTATCAAAGTGGTTTGTTGTAATCCTGAGAAGCTGAGAGATAAAATTTGCTGTAAGGGCTGTGGGGTTATCAAAAGCATTCAAATCCAAGACCCTGAAATTCCCAAGCCCGTCGATCCTCCACCGCAGCTCCAAAAGGTCATCGATTCTCCTCTGCCGAAAAATCCCGACCCACCGCCTTCTCAAAAGGTCGTCGATCCTCCCTCGCCGCTCAAGAAGGCTGATCCTCCACCTCCGACGCCGCCCAAGAAGGTCGATCCTCCGCCGGTCGTCGTCCAGAATCCCCCACCAGTACAAACCAAGCCGGTACCAAGGAACCCATGCGTGCCGGATGCAGGGTACCCGCGGGCATACCCGATGGGGGTGTGCTGCAGGGAGTGCTATGAAGGGCGCGGTGGGGGCCCGTGTTACAGTGGGGTCGGTAGGCCGCGCTCATGCTGCGACGGGTGCGCTTCTGGAAGGCCTATTTATGATAGCTATGGCGGAGGGAGGAGTTGTTACATCAGCCCCTGTGAGTATCTAAATGAAGAAAATGCGACAGGATGCAGTGTCATGTGAGGCGTTGCAGCTCGTGAATGGTGCGAGTGACGTTCATGCGCACCTTATGGTTATGATAATAAGGGAGTTCTAATTACATTACAATGTGGCCTGGCCTCAGTATAGAGCTCGGTTTTGAGGCTTCAACGGCGTAACAGAACAATAATTCATTTCATTATGTTCATCTTGGTTATTAGTTTTCAATAATTTGAGATAGTTAAAAACGCGAAATTCAAACTTGATTGAAGTGGATTCTCATTAATCTCACCATTGGAGTTATGTTCGAACATTATTGATATTCAAACACTATATGACTAAGCGTTAGTGTGCAATGGTAAAATAAAGGGTTGAGTTGAAATACAAAAACTAAATGGTAGCATCGGGATTAAACAAGTACGAAACCATCTAACTTTTCTTTTTATGGAGGGTACTAAACCCTTAGCTAAGAGAGATGATATCTCGTGGGAATAAAAATACTCCGTAAGTAACTTACTTGTAAGCTCTAATCGTATCAATAACTTAATTAGTCATCAGAGAGTTGAAGCCTAAGCTTTGCAACTGTATAAGCTTCTTGAAGGTCAAAAAGTTTTCGGGGCTGTTCTTATGCATGTCATAAACCCACTCTGAGTTTGGAAGTTGTTCACTAATTATTGGCACCACAATCTCGTGGATAGCTTATTTGAGTTTTAGAGTGAAGCTAGCTTACATTGTCTAGAAAGTAAATCATCGGTGTCCGAAATATGGAAGACACGACCTCATCATAATCAATCTCATAAAAGGACATTTATGACATTATGAATCTTGAACATCATCTCTAAGACTAGCCTGACAACCCTTCTATAGGACCATAAAATTAAACTGAATCTTGGGTAGCGGCTCCCTGTGATAGCCAACTACTAAGTCTAATAGTGTGGTCCCTCGTCTTGCACAAGACAGGCTTATGGAGTAGCAACTCAGTTCAAAAGGCCCTAGACTATTTCCACATACAAAAAATGATCAAACTATCCGCCATAGCAGTTCAAAAGGCACCTATGGTTGCTGAGAGTGCTTCAAATTCAAGTTTATGGTCCAATAGACTTGGACATACGAGTGTCAAAGGAATGAAGCGGTTGGTTACAAAATAAGTTTTAGAAGACCTAAAATATGTTGATATGGGCCCTTGTGAGAGATGTGTTATGCGCAAACAGAAACGAGTTAGCTACATAAAGATTGTCAGAGAATTAAAGGAAGTGCAGTTGAAAATGGTCCATAAGAGACATTTTGGGACCATCTCCAGTTCAATCACTTTGTGGATCAAAGTTCTAGGACATCTTCATCAATTATGTGAATAGAAAGGTATGAATTTATTTTTTGAAACACAAGTCAGATGTGTTTGTCACCTTCAAGAAGTGGAAAACTAAAGTTGAAAATCAAACCGATTTGAAGATCAAATGCTTGAGGTCTAACAATGGAGGAGAATACAACAAGTTAGAATTCAAAGCACTTTGTGTAGCGGAGGGAATTAGGTTAGCGAAGACAGTTTCCAGTAGTACAAGACAAAATGGTGTTGCTGAAAGAATGAACGTAACATTAAATGAGCATGTAAAGAGTATGAGGATTCATGCTAAATTGTCAAAGACATTTTGAGTCGTTGTTGTATGTTGTAGATACAACAACCTACTTGATTAATAGAGAGTCGTTACCTTGGAGTTCAAGTTGCCAGAAGAGATATGAATAGGAAAATAACTCAAGTACTCTCACTTGAGAACTTTTAGCTGCATTGCGTATGTCCATGCTGATCCAGAGAAGAGAGACAAGCTTGTACTTCATAGGCTATGGTTCTGACACGTTTGGGTACAAGTTTTGAGATGACAAGAACAGAAAAATCCTGAGATATTGAGAAGAAAATTACACGTTTGGGTATGTCCTGTACAAAGACAAAAAGAAGAAAGGTTCCGAGACAACGAAGCAAGTGAGAGTTGAGAATGAGTTGTAGAAAAATACACCGAGTAATGTCATAGCTGATACTCAAAAAGCTTCTGAGACTATTGCTGAGGAACTAGAGGTGGAGTAAGTGTTGAGAAGATCAACCCGAACTTATCAAAGTATCATATAGGTATGTACCTTTATTGCACTATTTGTTGCTGACTGATGAAAGGGAACCAGAGTCCTTTGATGATATGCTGAAATTGAATGATACAACTAAGTGGGAGCAAACCATAAAGATGAGATGAGTTAGATGTCTAAGCTTCAGAATTGCTCTTTATCAACTGAGATGGATGGAGTACATGGCAATAGCACACGAGGAGATCTCCTCATTTGATGCTATAGTTTATTACACGGTTAGTTCTCTCTATTTTGAACGAAGAACAACTCTTGCCAAGTCCTGTCACTGTTTCAAGCTCAATCCGATAACTCGCCACCCAAAAACATCCCTTCAAATTACCAATGTCTCGCTACAGGTATACGCTTCTCAAGAAACCCAGAATCCGAGCGCCTCTGATGATGAAATTTCGAAAAATCCCGATGGGAAATCAGGTTCCTCGTCCAAAAGCTCCGTTTGTGTCAATCCCAGAACCCCCAGAGCTTCGAAACTTCGGAAGCAATCTTACGAGGCCAGGTATGCTTCTCTTTCGTGAATATCGGAGTTCTTGCTCTTCGGTACTTTCAGAAGCTGTTGAATTCAAGGAAAGAGGCGATTCTTTTTATTAACGTGACACTGAAGGTGTTTTGGAAGTGCCGAGATATGGAGGGTGCAGATAAACTGTTCGACGAAATGCTTAACAGAGGAGCTAAGCCTGGTAATCTGACATTTTCTACAATTATTACTTCTGTTAGGTTGTTTTCGTTGTCTAATAAGGCTATTGAGTGGTTTGTGATGTCACAAACTCTGCTATGATTGATGCCTATAGACGTGCTGGTGATGTTGGCTTGGCTTTCAGCTTCCATGATCGTGCAAGAACAGAAAACTGGCGTATCAATCCTGCAACATTCTTGACATTGATTAAAATTCATGAAGTGGCTGGGAACTATGATGGGTGCTTGAATTGTGTATGAAGAAATGAAGGCTATAGGCATCAAGCCGAATTTGGTTATACATGCTATGGGTAGGGCTAAAAGACCATGGAAGATCAAGACCCTCTACAAAGAGATGATTAAAAATGGACTTTTGCCAAGTTGGACATCTTATGCTTCTCTTTTACAAGCCTATGGGGGAGCCAGATACGGTGAGGAGGCTCTCCTTGTGTACAAGGAGATGAAGGAAAAGGAACTGCAGCGGAATGTTATTCTCTACCATATACTTTTAGCTATGTGTGATGTGAGTCACACTCGCATTCTTACAGTAGCAGAACAAGCCCAGAGAATAAGTCAACTGTGAGAAATTCATGCTTCGTGGACAACGTCAGCCTATGCTTGAGGCTCAAGTCACGTTTGTGAGAATTGTTTTAGAAAACATGAGTGAGGAATACATTTGATTGAAAAATTGAATAAAGCAACGTTATATGGCTATAAGCAAAGAAAGGAACACCACTGACTTAAATAACATATAACTCAAGGTAAGAAGAAGTAACAACTAGTCATACCTCCCTATAATACATTTTGGGGCATTTTAGCTATGGCGGGTGTAGACATGATTGTGCTGAACGGTCATATACCCCCATATTGACATAACATGAAATAGTAAATACCTATCTAAGATGGAAGCATGTAAAAGGGGTTTGGAACAAACATGCGACTATAAACAACACGTCTTGGACAAGCATGACCGGGACATCTGACATGTGCCATAGACAACACTCCTTGGACAAGCATGATCGTGACACTACACTATGTTGGCTACATCAATGAAGTCATTGAAATTTCAAGGGTTGATCATGAGTTTGTTAGTAAAATTTTGTTACACAACAGTAGGGTATAAGTAGCAAGTGGAATTGGGAGGGAAGAAAGTATTTTTCACTACCAGAGGTGTTTAGATATGTTGAGGATTGTTGAGAGGAAGTTCCATGTTGGCTAATTAAGGAGTTAGATCATGGGTTTATAAGTAAGAGGAGTTAGAGTTCCATGTTGGCTAATTAAGGAGTTAGATCATGGGTTTATAAGTAAGGAATGCATCTCCATTGGCATGAGACCTTCGGGAGAAACCAAAATCAAAGTTACGAAAATTTTGCTCAAAGTAGACAAATAACGTACCATTATGGAGAGTCGTGATTTCTAACAAGATATTCTTCCGGCGTATGAGAGTTAAAAAAGACTTCCTTCATAGTTGAAGATATTATTAAAAGCATTGACTTTGATCTTTTAAAATTTTTATAATTTCTTAGTCAGAACTCTGCGGGAGTGCAGTTAACATGGTACTGTCTTCTTATTTCTTATCTTTAATTCCCCATTGAAGTCGTTGGGTGTGTCTATTATATATTCATACAGGTCGTGAAGCAGTGTTATGCTTGGCATGTTCTGTCTTCTGATGCCCTTCCGATGGACAATCATCTCAAACCCACATGCTATATTTATTCATGAGACTTCCATTCCTTCTCCATTCATTCACAAAATGGGAAACTGCATCATCTTGCCTTGCGTTCACTTGCCATCGAAGAACCTTAGAGTGCTCGAGAAATCCCCCGAGTTAGCTACAATGGTCGATTCTGCAACTGAACGAGGTAATGACTCTCTTCTCAATGTTGTTCCATGCCTGAAAGAGCTCAAAAATCTTCTGGTTTACTCGAAGGCAACGTACTCGAGTGTAGGAGGAGCAAGGGAGGTGAAAATTGTTGTTACTAGGGAACAGTTTAAGTTGCTGTTGGGAAATGCAAAGAAGATGCCATCTGTATATAGATTGTTGAGCTATAGAGAACCCGGTAGAGGGCGTCGAAAATGGCGGCCGACGCTGTCTGTAATCTCGGAGGAAGAAGAGTTTTGAACGAGGTCCGGGAAGGAAACTTGTGTAGCTTAGAGTGATGATGGAGATTAAGTAGAAGCTTAAGAAATTGTGTTTGTTTGGGCAGCCTTATTTGTGGCAGTCAGGCAAGCAAATGGTCGCAGAAAGAAAGGAAAAGAGGTTATATTTGAAGTAACAAATAGAAGGATAGAAATGGGAAGAGATCTCAGCCTTGTAAATATAGTTGGAATGTTATTATATTTGGGTATAGAATTAGATAATCAAAACGCGATCTACTTTTGTTCCGTTAATGTTTAAATTCGAAAAATATATATTTTTTTTCAGGATTTTATTTTGAAAACTCAAAAGCTCACTTATGAACCAGAGGTATACATGAATCAAAATACTCAAACTTACCAGGCTCACTTATGAACCAGAGGTATACATGAATCGAGGTAGGTTGGGTTGAGTTGGGTTGAGATAATTTTTTGGACCAATTGTTGGATTGATAACCCTAACCCAACCCAATAAATTTTGGGTGGTTAGAAAAAGTTAATTTTTTAAAAAACTTTCATTTATCTATCTTATGTAATAAAATCTTAAATAAAAGATATTAAAAGTTTACAAACAAACACAAATCAATCTATCATCATTCAAATCAACAAATTCTTCATCAATAACGGAGAATTTTAACGTCCTAATATAGTTCAACATTGTTATAGAACTAAAGATAATTAAATATCAGCACTTTCCAAACAATTGGATACTCTAAAATAAGAAGAAAAAAAAATACAATGATAGATTCTAAAAATTTTAACGTCCTAACATAGTTTAACATTGTATAGAACTAAAGATAATTAAGTACCAGGCACTGATTTTGAAATTAAAAAAAAAAAATTAATTAGACTTATTGATGACATTATTGATGCATGACATTTGATGAATCATGATATTAATGCAACGGAGAAATAATAAACAGATTAGAACAAAATCTTTGAATGGTTAAAAAGATGTAATGAAACTAGGAGCTAAAGAACTCTTACAATAATCAAGAATCTCTTCCCATACTAAGTGTTGATTTAGAAGCTACAGCGGAGCGGACACTAGAATGATAAAAACATTTTGAGCAACTTTCAATAAAACTCAATATTTAAAATCATTTACTTTCTTCCGGTTCTCGAAAAATGTTCGATTGAAAGTAAATTCAAGAATTCATAGTAAAAAACAATATGCTTTAAATATATATGCCCGAAACTTATAAGACAGTTGTGAACTTATTAAACATTTTTGTTTGAAGTTCAATGCATCAATCAGCGTCTTCTTTTAGAATTCTTTTTTACTCTCCAACAACTCTATATTCCTCAATATCCAATGATTACAATTTTTAATAATACCTTATCCTAAAAACCCTCTATATAGAAAAGGATTTCATCACATTATTATTATCCACCCACAACATCAATATTCACAAGCCACATGGTTTAGAGCCTAACAGTTCTTCCAAAACTGAACTTCAGAGATCAGATTATCAACACCAATAATAATAAGAGCATTGAATAAGGAAAACTCACATTATAATTGAAGCTTTTCATCAATGGAGAACAACCCATTGCTAATCCAATCCTTCTCGGTCGATGTAACCGCAGGATAATCGGATTGCTTATTGTTCTGAATTGTTCTTTGATTGAGCAAAGGATTAGAAAAAGAAAAGATTCCATTCTTTTCCTTGATCATACCCTGCAATCCATATGGAAAAAAAAAATGTGATCAGTTCTAAAAGGACAAAGTAACCGACCAATCAAGCAAATGGACAACAATCTCATCACGTTTCCATTTGTTTCTTGTCTTATGACTAATTAACCCCCTTCTTACTTCATCTCCCCCGCCAAAATATTGCTACCTGTACAAGGGCATTTCAGTATTTTCACATCAAAACTATGGCATCTTGAGAAAAAAAAAATGAGAAACTGATCGGCCAAGCAAAGTTTGAGAACTTTTGAAACTCGTCACTTATAAATACCATCTTACAAGAAAAGAAAAAGGACTCATAACAATCATCTCTCACAGCCATTTTCTCTATCTCTCTCTCTCTGTCTTTCTCCATGGACATTCAGGTCATTCAAACAAAGGTTCTCCAACACAAAGACCAGCTAACTGTTGTAGCAGCAGTTTCAGTGGTTATGTCATTGTTCGTATATGCAGCGCCCCGGTTTCTAAGTATTCTAGCATTCTTTTGGCCTCTCTTTCTCTCCACAGCCGTACTTTTGGTGGCAATGACAGCCTTTGGAGGAGGTTTCCAAGTTGGAACCGAAGTTCATGGTGAGAGAGCAGGTGAAAGGATCCTAGATTATGTAGCAGGACGGCCTGAATACGCCGAATACCAATACAAGTACCAATAAAAGATCATTCGTCGGTTCTCAGTCGATTTAGACATTGATGTCTTGAAATTCATCTATGTCTGCTCACTTTGTATGCTGAAGCTACCAAAAAATTTAGTGTAATAAACACAACATGTATTCAATTCTAAAATGGTTTGTAAATAGAATCAGAGTGCAATAATGCATGCATTCTTCACATATTCTGTTTGAATCCAAATGGGTGAAGGAAATTTCTGATGAATGATCCGTTAAAAGTTAGCCATGAACATGAGGTTTATATCTACTAAGAAAGTGGACAAATTAAGGAGCAAGGATCACCTCATCCGATGCTCTACGTGAGTTATTGTCTGATATGAGTTCGGTGTCAATACACCGACGACTATGAAGTTACTAAATCAGCTTCTGTTAAGTTTCCTGATTGATCAATGTCAAGCTTATAAAAAGTGTCAAGTATTGGTGAAACATCTTCCTGATTGATCTTTCCCATTTCCTTCAGTTTATATACAACAAATTCAGCAGCACTGATATATCAGATAGCCAAGAAGTCCAAGAAACATGCAAGAATTGAATAAAACAACAGAACTATGGTTAGGATATGGGCAATGGGGAAGAAATATGAAGGAAAATCAGGCTTACCTTACTACTTTATCATGATCAAGGTCTGCTTCTTCGAGATCGGAGTACGTGAGGTCTCGGGAGAGAACCCTATTCACTAGTGATTTCTGTCTCCTCTCGGCGCGTAATTCGGCGAGGTACAGAAAGAACTGTGCCAAGCAGATGGTACTGCTCATTATCCAAATGACAGCAAAAACACGACCAGTTGTTGTAGAGAAGCTCTTGTCCCCATAGCCAAGAGTTGTGATTGTGGAACAAACACAATAAAAGGCATCTGTGAACTCAAACTTCTCAACCAGAATCAAGAAAAGAGTACCGACAACAACGAGAACCCAAAGGACGATTCCAGTCATAAGGATTTTGTATTTGAGTTTGTGTGCCACAGACTCTCGAAGGAGCTCACCGGAGCTGATCTTTTTGCTCATGAAAATGGCCTTAACAAGAAGTATTTCCTGCTTTTCGACAATGTAATCGGCCGCCCTGCTAAGAAGCATCCCACCAAGAGTAATTCCAGTGAAGACATAAGCACAAGCAAGTAGTTTTGCACCAATGCTATTAGGAACAAGATCACCATACCCAACAGTGGTCATTGTCACAACACAAAAGTAAATGGCATCAACAATCCCGTTTGTTTTCTTGCCATTGATTTGATCTCCAACAAGGAAGAAGCAAAGTGTTCCTCCTCCCAAATAAGTAGCCAACACAACAAACACTTTCCTAAAACTAACTTGTTTAACAACCACACGTTGATGAGATGCTTCATCACCATTTCGTGGTTGATCGTTGTGTTCTAATGAACGTGAAAAAATTTCATGATGGATCGATTTTCTTCTCTGGAGAGAATTCCTCTTATTGGAATCGGACAGCTTGGGAAGCAAGGATTGTTCAACATCACCAGACTCCATCTCAAAATCAATAAAGATCTTCTAACCAGATTTAAATTCTTGATTCTTAACTCAGAAGAGATTAATTTTTGGGGATAAACATAGAAAATCTCTATCTAATGATAGTAATCCACAAGCAGAAACCGGTGAAACTTCAATTTTCCCAACCTTATTACATCATTGGAGATCAATTTCAAGCACTTTCAAATATCACCAGAAGAATTATTGTTCTTAGACATAACAAGATCCAATGCAAGCAACAGCGATCCTCACATTTTATCAACAAATGCTGGAAGGAAAAGATAGGGATTAAAGGACTTGATGATTATGAAGAGACAGTACCATTAATTCCGCAGTTCATGATAAATCAACAATAAACAGAGATATCAGAATAGTTTAAGACTTGGGTTTAAATGATGAATGTGTTCATATTTAGCACGAAAAAAACTACCTGGACTTTATTTAGAACAGAACAAACGAAGAGTGAAGAAAAGCGATGTTCGAGAAATCGAGAAGAAACCCAACATTCACTCTCTGGCTTCCACCTGCTTAAATCTTCACCACTCGGCATTAACAGGCCACCATTTTCCCGCAACTCGCTACCTGAAAACCACAAATCGTAATAATTAGGCTAATGCCTTATACAACAACGACAATAATCATTTCCAACTTGAACAATGGCATCAGATCCTTCCATGAAATCAATCCGCGGAATGAACGATCACTTCGGCGAGAACTGAGAGGATCGAAGCAACAAATTTACACAACCGAACTCGGGTCATTCCAGATTTCAGCCATTTCAATCCGATTTCGAGTGGTAGGTCTGATTAAGAGGATAATTACTGAATAATGAACGATTTCACCTAAGTTCATCTAAATCCCGAGAGAAAATTTAGTTCGTCAAATAGTGAGCGTATAACATGATCTCATAGGTGAAAAGAAAGTAGATGAGTAGTCTTTTGGGTGATGATTTTGATTTCACACACTTGAACAATAAGCTTAGCTTAATTTATAGGGATTTGATCTTCTTATAATTATAAATAATATGTGAAAGATTTAATGATTATATCTTATCCAACATAGAGTTTAATTGTAAGTCTACAGTCGAATGACATGTCGGTAGAACATCAGAAAAATATATTTAATTTGAAATATTTAAATTAAGCTAAATTAATAAAAATATCCACAAATTTATTTAAAAAATGGAAGAATTAATAATGGAAGAATTTTTTTTTTTTTTTTTAGTTTTTAAAGAGTTTTAAGAGAATTAATAAAAATTAAAAAATGGAAGAATATTTTATAGATAAAGATGTTTTTATTAATTTAAATATAAAAAGAATAATTATTTAATTTAAAAGGTTGAAATTAATATTTAATATATTAGATATATTAAATAAATATTAAAGAATCAAATTAGTTTTTTTTTTATTTTTTTTTTTTATGATTCTAAAGCGTGTTCGTGAATATAATGTTAACTATAAACAATTATGAAAAACATAGAAATCACGATAATAATTTCAAATTTTAATGAGAAGTTACATAAAGTAACACCCTACTTTTATAGTATATGATCGTACTCTACCTATCTCTTGGAAATTTGAATAAAACATTCGGATCAATGCAAAATCGTAATAGCATTTTTTTACGAGTTTAAGAGCAAAAATAATATTTTTTACGGCTCAAGATCAAACCCATACAAATGTTGAAATTTTGAAGAATGCACTATATCTTTTTTCATTACCATGTAAGTACTCGTGATACAATAAAAATCTATCTCAAGAATAAGATAAACATTATACAAAGGAGTCTTGGGAGTTATTTCTTAAGCGCATGGGTGATCTTATTTCAAGCATTGGTGAAGTCAGTGGCTGATCTAATTCAGGGTTATCCCCCGATATAAGTGGCCGAGATTTTCTCTCTATCAATCTATGGTATTTTGTATCCATGGCATCCTCCGCTACAGTCAAAGAGCTTTCCTACAAGGTTCTAAAGTCTCTTCCCTCACCGCAATATTTCTAGCTTCCAATCGGAGTAATAGAATAAAACAATTAAAACGACACCAATCGTCACTTTCCCAAAATTTCATGTGTCATAGTTTGATTAACTTCATGTGACGTATTTACGTCTTGTATTTTCTACTCTACACCATCTTGTTTAAGCTATAACTTCTTCGTTTGAGTTCCAATTTGAGTGATTTAAAAGTGTTTGAAATCGTCATTCCAAGCCTTATACCACGAACATCTCAAAACCCTGAAATTATTAGTAATCAAAAGCAAAATTATAGTTCTTATAGAGAATTAGATGAACCCGGAATTGAGATAGTATTTTTTAAGCTAAACTTTCGAAATTATTACCAAATCAAGCCTAAGAAAAGTGTTAGAAGCATCCCATAAGAAGTTAAATATTAGATTTGTAACACAACTTATTATATTACATTCTAAGAATACAACACTTGAGTTTCCAAAGAGATGACTAAATTGTTAAGCTACAAAAACAAAACGAGAACGAAAGAATATGAATCAAGGTTGAGCAATACCTTTTTTGATGAGCATTTCGTAGATTCTATCAATTTTGGTTGCCTCAATCTTGAACAAGCGATGGGCATCAGATTTGTTGCTCACATTCCCATTGAATATCTCTACTGATAACACTTCTTCCATTCTTAGGTAAACTGGTGGACTTACTCTTATTTCACTGCATACCCTTTTTTCCTGCCAACCCAATCCAAATTCCATATCAACATTCATATTCTCTTTTAACATTTAACTTTAACTACTAAGTGAAACGCTGCACTTACAGCTTCCGAAAGAAAATCTGCGCCGTTGAATCCCAGCGAATCCAAGTCGTTCAAAGACCCTGAAACACCCTGCACTGCTGCTCGTGAATTCGAGTCCTTCCCTCCCGACTCTGAAGGCATGAACATGATTGAATTCCCCCGACTTCCAGGCCCTGTAAGGTCACATTCTCTTTTCCTTTTCTTATCGAGAAAGATCTCTACCTCCGTCGGTGTACGACACCCAGCCGCTCTAGCTTCCTGCATGATCGTTCGTAGATCCATTTACAGAGATACAGCAACCTTGAATCTTGCAAAATATGACAGAAAATTGAGTTTTTCAAACCTTGAGTTCTTGAATTCGTTTCAAGGTCCGATGCTCTGCGACAACTGTTTGAAGTAATTCCTTGTGTTCTTCCTTTGAATGAAAACGCATGAAGACATCGTATTGACGACATATTGCCCTCTCTTCGACCGATAAGTCCTTTTCAAAAGAACTCGGATAAAGCAAATTTCTTTGCAGTATAAAATCTTTTCTACGCTTCCTTTCATCTAGCCTGCAAAACAGTTTCATCATTTTAACATTTAAGACTAGTTGCACTAATAAATCCATTCATAAAAGTGCTATCTTCCAAAATTTGACAAAATATTACCTCTTAGAGTATATACGAAGCACTCTCATTTTCAGCTCACGCTCGTCTTCACCGTCAGCATCCTTAAATTCCATCTCCGCTAGCAACTGTTCGGCTTCGTTATCGTATTCTGGATCAAATTCCTGTCTCTTTTCATTGTAACCACTCAACTCTAATAAAGATGGACCCTTATTTGCTGGCAAATTAGGTTTCTTTCCTTTAAAGTTCCGGTCTGTTTGAGAATCTGCCATCAAATCATCATGCAAGTTTAGCTTCAACATCTTATGACCTCTAAAAAGAATATGCAAGTATTTAAAGAAATTTAGCTTCAACATTGCTTCCATATGATTAGGGGCTGAAAAAGAGAGCGGGGAACAGGAGACATAATGATATATGTTGTCATCGATCACCTTCAGTACGAAAAAAGTACTGTTTTCATGACTCCTATCTAGGAAAGCAGTGTAGAAAGAAAGCCTTGGCTGGAAATCCCAGTAAAGGAAAAGGTTTTAAGATTATCAACATCCAATTGCAAGCTATAGAATTTATCTGACTAAACCTTCCATTTTAACAAGGCCATCTTTAACTTGATTCGCGGATGACGCTTTTTTGTTGCCAGTGGTGGCGGCAACATTGAAGCTGCCTTCTGCAATAAAATCAACAGTACCATATACATTTAAACATGATATACGTTCATACTCGATCCATATTTAACAATAATAGATATCTATGCCTCACCTGACATAGTGCTTGATGATAAACGGCCAGAAGGATCTGCCTTATGTGTATCTTCGACTCTGAAAATAAAAGAAAATATTGAAACGAAGGTATCGAAATAATAAAAGAGAACAAAGCCATTCAAGGTAACAATTCACATACTTGACTCTTGGAGGAGAAAATGGGGACTCTTCCTTCAAAGTAAGCTCTCCAAGTATTGAATATCCTGCAGCATTAGAAAAAAATTAATCGTGAACTCCATCATCGGAGCAATACCAGAATCTTCTGAAATAAAGCACTAGATTGAAGCTACACGAACATCCGCATCAAACGATCCCCTCAACCCATCGCCAGTGTAGCTCAACATAAAAAGATGATGAATGTTTCACAAACCTTTCTTGTCTTCACCATGCCCTTTAGCCATAGCAAGAAGCTCCTTCCTATTTTTTCCGACGACATGAGACATATCCTGAGAAAAACTCAAAAGTTTATCGCTTGAAGGAAGAACCGAAGTTCTTGGAAAATTAATCATGTAATAATCTCGTACCGGTAAAGGAAAATATGGGGAGTTCATATATACACTTGAATAATGTTCTATGCATTGTTCTTTACTCTTCGTCCCGACATGCTCAGCAACCTCTGTCCAATTCCAAAAGCCATACATTTCGATCCCCTACATTATGAAATTATTTATTCAGGCCAAAAGAAGAACATAAAGACCACAGGAAACTGCAAAGAAGTCTGCAGATACCCTATCCACTTTAATATGAAGCTGTGAGGGAAATTATGAGAAGATATAATACCTCTAGAAGTAGCATTTCATCGTCCGCATTCCAGTCTGGGCAGATGAGTGGGAAAGATAAGTTATCCTGTCAAAATGACGACATCAACTAAAGCAAATGCATATAGGGTTCGATTTAAAGGTTTTCATGCTTTTCTAGAAGCTATGATGTACTTAAGTGCATCATTAATTCAACTTATTATATGGTTCTATTCAGCGGGAAAACAAGACAGGTACGTTATGAATTATAGAAAACCTCTAAAAGCATGCTGTGAACGAAACACAACGCAAATGCATCTAATTCCCGTATCAATAACCCAATTTCTTATGCAACTCCGTTCTTAAAAAACAAATAAGCTTACACAATTTCTAAGAGAAAATACAATCGTGGGGCGATTACTAACCATAACCCTGTATGGGTGATTGCTTTTATGAGGCGTCAACTCCGCTCCAACCGAAAAGCATTCTATACAAAGGTCAAAGTCGGGGCACATGGCACATTTGATGCGGATTTTCCCTGTAATGTCTTTAATGCAATAATTGCAGTGATATAATGCCTTTTTCCCTTCAGTTGCCCCTTGACCTTTTTCCCAAAATGATTTAAAGTTAAGAAAGAATGTTAGACAAAAAAATGGTTCAAAACAAGAGCACACAAGATCTGAATTACAGACAGTAGAAAGCCTCATTAAAATGGAACATGAACCAGCATAACAATTTTTTGCAGGAGAATTCTATACATTTAGTTTTAAAAACAACTAATCAAAGTAGAAAGCACCTGCCGTTGTAGATTCCAAATTATCTCCACTAGAAGAATTCTTTTTTCTCCTCGATCTGCAGCATCCAAAATGGAAGTTCATATCAACAACACAAACCATAATGCATCAAGAAAAAGAACAAAGAAATAAATGTTCATACACATAATGAAAAAAAACTAATATTACACAACAACACAAGCAGATCATCGGATTGAAGACATCTTCCACGAAAAAACTCACAAAGATTTTACCAAAATTTTGAACCAAAGAATATAGTTAGTACAGTAGAAGGTCACTCAAGTAAGTAAACAAAGTTGGTGTGCTACCCTGATTATGCAGAAACCATTCCATTCACACTCAAATGCACAACTATTCATACATAATTCCTTCCCCCATTATTAAAAACCCCGGAAAAATCGGAAGAATCAATCGAGGGTATCTTCAGTAAACCACGAACCAGCAAACTTTCTCATAGAAAACAAAGAAAATACACCGAGAGAGGAAGAAAACTGCTAACCTCTGAGTAGGATCCTCGTCGGACTGAAAGTTTCCCCGAGAGCGACCCATTTGATCTGGGAAATTAAACGAATGATCCGAACTATTGGGCAAGTATTAGTTCAAGAAAAAGTGGCACATAGGATTGGGATTAAGTGCCCCGAGTGAAGGGCAGCATTGATTGGGGATTTGGGAAGCGATTTGATGTTCAGATGATCGGGGAACTGGAAATTGGATGGTTTTTAGGGTTAGTTAGGGGTTTGGACAAAAGAAGAAAGTAGCGTGTGTCTGTTGAATGAAACGGAGGAGAAGCGATTCCGACGGTGGAAATCCTGAAATCTTCTGATACACCGAAAACGATGAATATTGTGAGTATCTATTATTCTCAATAACTGCCTTTAAATTCTTTCTCTATTTTTTTTTCTTCTCTTTCTTGTTGTCTCATCTAATTAAATTATGTTAATTTGAGGAATTAATATTTAAACCTTATCCATTTTTACCTATCTTCCTTCTTATAAAAATGTGAAAAATCTCTCTAATAGACGTGTTTTACCTGACTCACGACAATATAAGTAGACAATATCGACTAACGATCGTCTTGGACTGTTACATTGGAAGAAGAACTATAAAAAAATGAACAATCCTTTTCATTAGCCCTAGGTTATGATTGAATCGTAAACAAATTATTCATTAGGAAAGATGTGAATGATTAAATCGTAAATAAATGAACTTTTGACTCGACCCATGTGTAATTTCTTGTGGTGGAAAAAGTAATCTCCCGACGATCGAACTCGTGACCTTTTGCTTACAAAGTGAACACAATACCACTATTCTATGGAAACAAGCAGCTAAGTAACAAATACAGAAAAACTTGGAGATAGGTTTCCATCCAGGAAAGGAGAGAAAGTTGAAAAGGCTTCTCTCTATATAGAGACAGTGTTTGGGTTGGTTTAGTGCACGAGTATGAGTTTTCAGTACGAGTATTTGAAGATGAGAATTACGAGGACAAAAAGTTGAAGGCATGGAGATTTTAATACAAGCGAGAGGCGTTAAACGTGGTGCACCGGTTTGTTACCTATTGAAGACGAGTAGAGAGGCACGGCTAGAGGTGTCATTCATGCATTTCTGTCTGGTTAGGGTTAAGAATTTTAGAGACGCACAAAACCAGTAAGAGAATATGCAAATAGGCTGGAGCGTCGAGTCTGCATCGTAGGCTGAAAACCCTACCACTTAAAAGTATTACAATGCATAAGTGTGTAACTCTAAGTTTACAGTTAACGAGATCCTACCTAAAAAGAGAAAATGATGGGTATAAAAATACTCGGTAAGCAACCTACTTGTTCGCTCTCATTACATCCTTAACTTAGTAGGCATCCTAAGACTTTTCTCTTGGTTCCAAGAAGTTTGGGCATAGTCTCTTCTACCATCCAAGCATTTTGGGAGGTCTCAACATTTTGAGCAATTCTCTAGCTAGTCACGGACTCACATGGGTTCGGAGGTAGTGGTTCACCCATTTCTGGCGTCGTGGGTCTACTGGGCAACAAATCTCATCTCTAGAATGAATTTTTTTTTCTTTTTCTGTTCTTAGACCTAGACAACAGGGAAAATCTGGTTTCTTGGGTTCAGACGCTACCTAATAAAATGTTATGATAGTATGACATATAGCTAATATGAACATTATCATCGTCCATGGAAGGTTAACCAACAACCCTTCCACACGGCAATAGAGTCACTCCCTGTGTGCTTGCCAACTACTAGATGAGTTTACAATGGAAGTGTCTTGTTTAGGAGACTCCGGATCATTTCCACTCATGATAGCAGCACCTGGATTGTCTCGACAAGCTACATTATTTGGTCCAAGTTTGGCTTGATAGTAGCTGTACTTTTACCGCTCTTGTATACGATGCGTCAACCCTACAGAAATTTATATCAATTAATTGATTTTAGATTATCAAATAATGTTTCTAATTAAAAGTTTTAACTATAAATATATTAAAAAAAAAAACTAAACACATTTACAATTTTCATAGATTATTTAATGGAATAATTTAACTATTTAATAGTTTAAATAAATAATTTATTAAATTATCCGTAAAAATGATTTAAGTAAATGAAATCATGTTTATTATGTTAATTTATAATAACAGAACAATTTATTATATCATAATTATTTTTAATGTATTTTTTAAACTTTTACTTTCCTTGGATAAAAAACTTTTACCAAGCACGGTAATTTTAAATCTTTTCCATTCCCATCATTCTTTACTTCTCAACCGAACTGCCCAAATGGGTCTTACACCGGGCTAGAATTATGTATTAAAAATTTAAAATTAATTATCATTATTATGTGGTTGTAATTGATTAATTTTTAACAATAAAAAGTTTTAATTTATGCAATTATTAGCCCTAGGTTTTAATTAATACAACCTACCTATTTTAGTTTATAGTTGCAAGTTTAATTATAAACTTTTATATTTGTGTTATTTGATCGTTCTACATTATGTTCGGAGTCATATAGATTTCTAAAAGTATTTAATAAGCGATTGAATAACAACTTTGTGTCAATAATAATCTATTTGGCATTTTTTAAATTTCTTAAATTTACTGGACACAAAATATAAAGTTTATGATCTTGTTATATATGTTAGGAATTACAGATCTCCATAATGGTATGATATTGTCCACTTTGAGCATAATCACTCATGGCTTTGCTTTGGGCTTTCCAAAAAGTCTCATTCCAATGAACCAATCATTCCCTAAATTAGCCGATGTGAGACTTTCATCCAGTACCTTCCCTCGAACAAAGTACCTCTCCACTTAATTGAGGCTCTGATATGAACTAAGAGACATCAATCATACAATATGCTTCAATGAAGATGTGAAGAAAATATTGTTGAAATTATCAAAAGATATTTCAATTCATGCCACGTTGAAGAAGAATGAAGTTTCTGTTTTGAATTTTGGGTGGACTACAATTTAGAGTAATTTAGAGCTATTGTATTTCATTAATGTATTTTAAGACTTTTAATTTACTTTAGGTTACAATTACATAATGGTTAATTACGGTGATTAAGTATGAATGTTACAACTCTTGGAATGCCTTTAGTAGCTTCATTTTGAGGCTATATAAAGCCATGTATGTTGTATTTGTAGGTAGACTTGGAAAATATATAGTAAAAGAAGCATTTGTGGTTTATTTAGCCAATGACCGAGTTTATTTGCAATTCTATGTAGTTTAGGTTGCATGTAGAATCATTCAAGCTTGACATGATCAATCTTGCTTGTGGAGTGATTCGAATCTCAAACAAGCGTTTGAGATATTTGATCAACAAGAATCATTCAAGCTAGACATGATCGATCTTGCTTGTGGAGTGATTCGAATCTCAAATAATGTTCTTGCCTTGAGATATTCGATCAACAAGGTAATCCGAATCTTACTCCCCTTGAAGTGGTTCCATATCTTATCATTTGGTATCAGAGCTTAAGGCTCAAGATCGGATATATGTTTCCTTTGCATTTCTTTTCAATTTGTTTTTATCTTTTTAGTTTTTAATCGACCCAAAATAAAGAAAATCAAATCTGGGCTCTACTAGAAAATTTGAGAGGTGAGGATGAGAGATTCATTTGTGTAAATGAGTGCAAACAGAGTGGCCTAAAATTCCTTGAGTGTATACACGTGAGAGAGTGTTATGAGGTCCTTTGTATTTCCATAACTTATTTTTTGCAGCAAAGTTTCACAAATAGATTCGAGGACGAATCCTCTTGAAGAAGTGGAGAATGATATGAACCAAAAGACATCAATCATACAATATACTTCAATGAAGATGTGAAGAAAAGGTTGTCAAAATTATCAAAAGATGTTTCAATTCATGCCACATTGAAGAAGAATGAAGTTTGATTGTTATAAATTTTGGGTGGGTTACAATTTAGAGTTATTGTATTTCATTTATGTATTTTAAGACTTTATTTACTATAGGTTACAATTACATAATGGTTAATTATGGCCATTAAGTATGAATGTTACAACTCTTGGAATGACTTTAGTAGTTTCATTTTGAGGCTATATAAAGCCATGTATGTTGTATGTGTAAGAGACTTGAAAAATATAGTAAAAGAAGCATTTGTGCTCTTCTTTAGCCAATGGCTAAGTTTATTTGCAATTCTATGTAGTTTAGGTTGCATGTAGAATCATTCAAGCTTGACATGATCAATCTTGCTTGTGGAGTGATTCGAATCTCAAACAAGCGTTTGAGATATTTGATCAACAAGAATCATTCAAGCTAGACATGATCGATCTTGCTTGTGGAGTGATTCGAATCTCAAATAATGTTCTTGCCTTGAGATATTCGATCAACAAGGTAATCTGAATCTTACTTCCCTTACAGTGGTTCCTTATCTTACCAGGCTCGATTACTTTTTTTTTCTTTTGGAGTTTTCGAACAAAGTACACACTTTGTTCCATACTTTAGTCACTTTTTGACTATGCCTTCAAGGCTCACAATACTTTGTTCAACATTTGAGGATTCTATTGGCATGACTAAGTTTAGGGCATGAGTCTGATACCATGTTAGAAATCACTGATATCCACAATAGTATGGTATTGTCCACTTTGAGCATAAGCTCTCGTGGCTTTGCTTTGGGCTTCCCAAAATGTCTTGTATCAATGGACCAATCATCCCCTTAAACATTTTTTTTATTGTCATGATTCAATTTTCAGAGGCCTCGAATCTCGGACCGTGACTAGAAAGACGAAGGCGAAATCAAATAAAAATAAAAGTAAAATGAAATAAAAGATAAAAATTTGATAAAATTTAAATAAATTAAAAAAAAAAAAGTCAACAACACCACAATGTTGTTTAAAATACTAAATGATAAGGAATCAAAGGTAAGATTCAAATTACCTTGTTGATCAAATATCTCAAAATAAGAACACTCGTTTGAGATTCGAATCACACACAAGTAAGATTGGTCATGTTCAAACTTGAATAATTTTACATGCAATATAAACAGCATAGAATTGCAAAAAAACTTAGTTATTCGCTAAATAAAGCACAAATGCTCCTTTGACTGCATTTTCAAAGTCTTGTAAGATAACATTCATAGCTTTATATAGCCTCAAAATAAAAATCCTTAACTTTCTTAAGGCATTCCAAGAATTGTAACTATATTCCTGGACTATAATTAGCTACTATTTATACTTTATGGCTATAATTAATTACTATGTAAATAAACCTTAAAATACATTAAATAATCACCCATAACATCAAAATTATTTCTTTACATCTTCATTGAAGTATATTGTATGATTGATGTCTATTGGTTCATATCAACTGCTCTTGAATGCTCCTCCACTTCCAC